TTTTTAGAAAAAAATTTTAGATTTTTTTTTTTTATTTTCTATCTGTTTTATTAAATTGTTTTTTCAATTATTATTATAAATAAATAAATATGATTTAAACAACGATTTTCTTTTTTTTTTTTTTTTTTTTTTTTTGTAAAATTGCATATTTTGATAAGTCGGACACCATGTCCAGCCATTTGTGTCTGACTTATCGAGTTTATCTATGTAAATAGAATTAATGGATGAATATATATATAATAAATTTGAATTTTCTTACATCTATAATTAATGGGTGAATGTATGTATAATAAATTTGAATTTTCTTACATCTATAATTAATGGATATATATAAATAATAAATTTGAATTTTCTTACATCTATAATTAATGGATGAATATATAAATTTAATAAATTTGAATTTTTATTATCATCATCGTTGCCGTCGTCATTGTTGTTTCCATCTGGTGACGATAATCCAATCCCATTATTATTTGTATTTTCTTGTTGATTTGGATGTTTATATGGCTCAGTGCTAGGAGCAGTATTAGGTAATGCACAAAAAAGAAGACATACACGTTCTTGTTCAGTATTCCAATGTGGACAACATAAACGATATTCCAAAGGAATTTGATTGTCACTTTTCTCAAAAAATTTGCCTCTTTTAACAAAACTTTCGAAATAAGGCCCCCCACAGAAACTGCATTTTTTTGCACTGGCAAGATAATCCTTGAGAGCGTCAGTAGTATCTTCCAAAATAGGAATTTGAAGTCTAACAATGGTACGCGCAGCAAGTTCCATAAGCGATGGGGGTGAATGCTTAAGTTCATGTACAAATTCAGTTTTCAATGGACATCCATCAGTACGGAGTTTACGTAGATATTGAAGACGGCCAAGTTCTGCAGGTAAAACTGTGATTTGATTATTACGAATGTCTAGATTGATCAAAGTTTTTAATTGACCTATTTCTGGTGGTAATTCTATTAATCTATTATCCTCTAGGTATAACTGTTCAAGTTTTTTTAGTGAGCCGATTGAAGCCGGTATTGAAGTCAATTGATTTCCTGACAAATTTATAACTTTCAATTTATCTAAAAATCCAATAGTGTCAGGAATTGATTTTAATTTATTTTTATGAAAATTAAGTGATACCAAACTTCTCATATATCCAATTTCAGCTGGTATTTCTGATAATTCATTACAACATCTATTTATTTATTAATAAAAAATATAATAACAATAATAATTATTATTGTTATT